ACAAGGCCGAAAGCTATATAAACCCTGCTGGTCCGCAGTCAGTGTGTGCTTCATCGAGAGGGTGAGTGCGTGTGCCTCGTCTAGTCAGTATCGAGTTGGTGTCTCGTCTAGCGAGTCAATTCCTGCAGAGTCGATTCCGAGTCGACAGCCGGGCAGCGAGTGCCGAGTGGGTCGTCGAGTACACCGAAAGAGTCTCGTAGTTTATCACGATTAGTGCAGCGTCGAGAGAGCGTGTTGAGCTCCGGGAACGACGGAACCGAAGAGTCGGGAGCCGTGCTCTGTGTGTCGTCGAGTGCATCGCGAGTTGTAGCGTGGAGAGTCTCGAGAGTACGTAGAGTTCCGAGAACGACTGAGCAGAGTCGGGAGCTGTACTCTGGTGCTTTGCAGAGAAGCTGTCTTCATCGTATAGCCTGATAACCAGAAGGCTGTATCGCTAATCGTGTCAGCAAATTTATAGTAGTTCATCGACGACTGTAAAACGTGTTTTGGAGCTATCTGATTAATATTGGTGAATAAAGTGTGTTTTGATACTTCATCAAGTAGTGTCGTCGTTATTAACTCCAAATCCACACGAACCGCGTACGAACGTGAAGGAAGAAAACGTAACAATATTTATATGGCCTTCTTAGCTACACTTTGCAGCTACAAGCGTTATTCTGTGCCATGAACGTCATTGATAAAATATATAAAATATACTGTACGAATATTTTAACTCTATTTCTTCGTGCAGTATGATCTAATTTAAAAATCTAATATTTATGATGTTGTTTTGTAACGATATGCATATTATAAGCCTTTTATAAGTAAAGGACGATCACAGTTAAAGTTGACCTATTCAGAGCACTCTGTAAATATAATTGATAAGCAGACGGAGAACTAAATTTATATGTATATAGCGGGGGGGGAGGGAAAGGAAAAAAATGGGATAGTTCTATAGCTCTCGTTCTACTGGGCCGATTGACAAAATTCAACTTGCGTTTTTCATATCTCGAAAGCGAGACTTGGAATATGTATTAGATTTATATATAACATTGTTCTAATATAGGTATTTTGACACATCCGACTTCTTTTGAAATGACATGCCAATTTTTTTCCATACTTCGATTCTACGATTCAAATTACGCCAAGCTGCCAAGTTTTGTAAAAATCACTCGAGCAGTTAAAAAAAAAAAAAAAAGCTTTAAAATTTTAATGGAGGGGTAATATTATTATTATTATTTTGATTTATTATAATTTATTCAAATAAAATTCGTCCATTTTGTATTTTTATTTTAAATAATTTTTATAAATTTTTCGAAAAAAAATTTGAATTATAGTCTGTAAAATTTTTACTATCTTCCTAAATTAGATGTATTTCTAAGCATACCTGCAAAAAATGACAATTTTTTATTCAAAATTTCGGAAGATATACGTGAATTTATATATTAGCGCGTTTTGAAATTCGGCATATTTGTTAAAAGCGATAGTAACATCAAATGTGGTTTGAGCACTTTGTTAAAATTATTTGGAAGTAGGAACGATGTGACTTTTTTCCGCTCATGCAAAAAATGTAAAAAGGTAGGAACAATGTGACTTTTTTCCGCTCCTACACAGTGGAAGGAAAAGGAAAACAGATTGCTATATATTAAGTTCGCCAAGTGAATTATTTTTGGCACAAACTGAAAAAAATTTCGCCAAGATAAATTTTTGAACTTCTCCGCAAATTTCGCACCAAACTTTACAGAATTTAATATTTACGCATAATTTGAGTAGTAGAATCGAAATATGAAAAGAAATTTGGTATGTTATTCCAGAAAAAGTCCGATTTTGTGTCAAAATAATTAAGTTAGAAAATGCTAGATATAAATGTAATACATATCCCAAGTCGCGCTTTCGATACATGAAAAACACTATTTGAATTTCGTCAATCGGCGCAGTGGAACGGGAGATATAGGAACTGTCCTCTTTTTTTTTTTTTTTTTTTTTTTTTTTTTTTTTTTTTTTTTTTTTTTTTTTTTTTTTTTTTTTTTTTTTTTTTTGTTTTTTTTTTTTTTTTTTTTTTTTTTGTTTTTTTTTTTTTTTTTTTTTTTTTTTTTTTTTTTTTTTTGTTTTTTTTTTTTTTTTTTTTTTTTTTTTTTTTTTTTTTTTTTTTTTTTTTTTTTTTTTTTTTTTTTTTTTTTTTTTTTTTTTTTTTTTTTTTTTTTTTTTTTTTTTTTTTTTTTTTTTTTTTTTTTTTTTTTTTTTTTTGTTTTTTTTTTTTTTTTTTTTTTTTTTTTTTTTTTTTTTTTTTTTTTTTTTTTTTTTTTTTTGTTTTTTTTTTTCTGTAATTTTTTTTTAATTTTTTTTTTTTTTTTTTTTTTTTTTTTTTTTTTTTTTTTTTTTTTTTTTTTTTTTTTTTTTTTTTTTTTTTTTTTTTTTTTTTTTTCTTTTTTTTTTTTTTTATTTTTTTTTTTTTTTTTTTTTTTTTTTTTTTTTTTTTTTTTTTTTTTCTTTTTTTTTTTTTTTTTTATTTTTTTTTTTTTTTTTTTTTTTTTTTTTTTTTCTTTTTTTTTTTCTTTTTTTTTTTTTTTTTTTTTTTTTTTTTTTTTTTTTTTTTTTTTTTTTTTTTTTTTTTTTTTTTTTTTTTATTTTTTTTTTTTTTATTTTTTTTTTTTTTTTTTTTTTTTTTTTTTTTTTTTATTTTTTTTTTTGTTTTTTTTTTTATCTTTTTTTTTTTTTTTTTTTTTTTTTTTTTTTTTTTTTTTTTTTTTTTTTTTTATATTTTTTTTTTTTTTTTTTTTTTTTTTTTTTTTTTTTTTTTTTTTTTTTTTTTTTTTTTTTTTTTTTTTTTTTTTTTCCCGCAGTGTACACTACTCAAAAGATTTTGCAGGGAAAGAGTGTTTTAAATTTAAACACATTTTGACTTAACACAAACATTAGATAAAATTTGGTTCAATATAAATCGTAGTCTAAACATTACAGACCTCTGGACGAATTATCATCTCGGATTTACTTTTCAATGTCGTCCCGGACCTTTATTTTTCATTACCAGAATACTAATAAATTACAACAATGTAAACTAACTAAAAGATTTATTTAAAGTTGAGCTGAAGTTACGAAACTAAATAATTAACAAAATTGACCTCCGATTCTTATGGGCGGAAATAAAACAAAGATTTAAAGCATTTACAAATCAAGGTTTCAATTTAAAGACTTAAACAAGCTGGTTACGCTATTCTATGTCTACTAACTCAATTTCGATAAAAGTCCCTAGCTAACGCGTAACAATCGCGCTTAAGGAAGCAGTACAGAAGAGCTTCATCATGGAAGGCTGAAATTGTCAAACCTGTCTTCTAAATTTAGATTATCTCCCCTAATTAAAACTAACTTCATTCTCATTTCATTAACAATTTCATTAACACAATCTCTTGTAGTAGACATTTTCAGACATTAGGTATTTTTGGAAGCAGGCAAGAGAGTTTGAAAAATTAGCAACGCCTTCGCCGGGAATCGAACCACGGACCTCTGGAATACGCGCCCAGCGTGCAGACCACCACACCACGAAGGCATGCCAAGAAGACGGGAGAAATACCTTATAGACGAAACAACAGAAATACAGGAAAGATTAAGGTATTACATTATTCTATTGTATTACAATATTACATTACAGTATTACGTATTACATTATACCGCCCACTCGGTTAGTCTATCTCTTATAAGGTCCATAGAGAATACATTGTGACGTCACAAGCTTAGCACCACCCACTTATGGACGTCACATAGCTCCGCCTATACAACTTTGTTTTTATGCAGCGTATTCTGGGCTTTTACCGAAAAAGAGAGAAATTCACTTTATTTAGCTTCTCAGCACTCAGATGCTTTTCCGGTAATACACATAACTTCTGTTACTATTCTGGTTGCACTTTTAAACCTCTTCACCTGAATGGATTTCCTGAAGAAATTCGGTACGATCAAGAAACTTTAGTTATATCAGTTTAGGTTTGGGCCTCGTCTTATTTGGAGATGCCGCAGTCACACATCGTTTCTATACACCTGGGTTGGACCCTATCCTGTGTGTAGCACGTGAAATAAACTTTGCGGCATATCATTTGATAAGCATAGTATTGTACGAATGGGTAATAAAAAGTAAAAGCAATTATACTTCTTATTACTCATTTACAAACTAGTCAAATTCTTAGTCCGTTTAACGGGGCGGGGCGTGTGTTGTCCGCAAATCCGGATTTAGACTTCATAAGGCCCTAAGCTATTTGAAATATTGGGCCCTTTAAAAGTCTCTTATACTATATTTATAATATATCTTATTTTTTTGTGGGGGGAGCTAAGCTATAGCTTGTGTAGCTTATTGTAAATTCTGCACTGGTTGTCCGAAACAAATTGTACTGTAAATTTACCAGGGAAGAAAGGAAGATCCACAACTAGCCATCTCATTATGTTAAAGCGTTATACGAGATCCTGAAAGGGAATAATTATGTTTATTTCATAAATGACGTTCATGAAATTGATGATGAAGTGGTAGTTTCTTATGTCGATTGGCAGTTCAGTTCAAATATTTATGAATTTATTATTATTTTGATGTCATAAAGTACAGTAATTCAGGATCACGTTCCGGGTCTCCACAATGAGATTTACAGAGATTGATAACTAAATATCCGCAAGGCTTTCCGTTTCAGGGATAGATGTATAAATCAACATAAGATTTTAAAAATGTACATGGTATAACATTTGTTTGCAGAAGAAAACTGTATGCTTGTATACCGCATGTGTGTAAATATGATTAGTCCTTAGGAATTGTATTATGCGTTTTTTAAACTGGCTTTAATTAAAGTTTCAGTTTTAATCCTTGGTACTTAACCCAGCATAGTGTCAATATTTCTGTTTTATATTCATTTTTTTCAGCTGACTTTATGTCTCTAGCAGTGATAATTAAGCAAAGATATGCTGGACTCCTACGACAGTCCTGCCCCCTGGAAGGAAATGAGTTGTAACAACATAACATGTGTGTGGCATTATAACTATATTACCAAGAGAATGTTCTCTTGGGAACGAACCCCAGTAACCACCGTGGGCCGGTGAGGGTGATAAAAGAAGACGAGGTTTGAACACTTCCTCTTCGTGGTGCATCCGTCGACTCATCTTGTACGAGTAAAAGCGTGGCTTTTGTCTGCGAAATGCCGAGAAAGTAAGACGCTTTCGAGAGTAGGGAACCTGCTGGTCTTCTCCTTTCTGTAATAATGCTGTAATATTTATTAACCACGAAAGCCCATGTTAAGTTTTGAAATAAATCTACACATACAGCCTGTTTAGTTATTTCCATCCCGCAAACTCTGTGACGTTACACTGGAAAGCAAACAGCATTCGAGCACCGGGAATTCGAACTTCAGATGGCTATCCGGGCGTGCTTCCAATTACACTGTGAAAGCAACCGCTCAAGAAAACACTTTATATTCTTTCCCATTTAAAGGGCAGGTAAGAAGGGAGAAGATCCAGTCGCCAACTCTAGGTGGCGGTGAATTATTGTCTACCACATTTCAATTCCGGGGCGACTTGTAGAGTCTATTAATGTTTTTTTTTTGGATACAGGAAGGGTGAAAATTCTGCAAAGCCTTCGCTCGGATTCGCCGGACTACGGGCTCCTAATTGATCGCTGGGCGTGCTCCCAATTACACCACGAAAGCACATGGTAAACAAAAAGAAAATTCCTTACACTCTTCCCCACTTAAAGGGCAACTTTGAAGGAGAAAATTTATTCTCTAAATCCAAGTGACGATGAATTACCGTCCACCTCGTTTTAATTCAGACGTCACTTGTAGAATCATTAGGTTTATTTTGGAGATGGTAACATTATACTATTTCGAGGGCGGAGAGATGAAAAATGAGCAACGCCTTCGCCGGGAATCGAACCACCGATCTCTGGAATACGCACCCAGCGTGAAGACCAACACACCACGAAGGCAGGCCAAGAAGGCGGAAGAAATAGCTTATAACATGACAATCAGCAGTGTCCTCGGCGAAATTGAAACTGCGAACCTCCTGTTGCCAACGAGACATGCTTTCAGTTAATCATGATGGCAGGCGGTAAACATGGATAAAATTCCTTACAAGATGAATCTATGAAGAATACAGAGTATGGATCATAGTGGTTGCAGCCGCTAGTCCGTATATAAATCACGGAATCTTCTTGACCCATTTCTGCCTTCAAAACGTCAACGCAATAAGAGATTTTCAGTGCAAATTAATGGTTGAAATGGATCACAGGAATGCATGGACAGATTTTCACATTTGCTCGTTTCAAGAGAGCACTAAAATTTTAGCATAAGATTTAAATTACGTCAGCAGTATGATCGTAGAAAGACTTCAGATGAACATAGCCAGCATCGTCTAACAAAAATTATTTCACACGATAGACATACAATCCTACATCAGATAACATTAAAATTCTAGGTAGGATTTCAACTAACCTCATCGTGAGGACAAAGTTAGGCAGTTTAGCCCCCTATGCATTCTCTGCGAACCTGAAATTCTACTGCCTAATACCTCCTCTTAATTCCAACATTTTATCATCAGTAGATTTTGCTGCTTAGTTCTCTAATTTTGTTTCGCATTGTGACTGCATAGATTCAGGAAAGGAGTATTCAACTTTCTCTTCATGACGACTTTAGAAGCCAATCCAAAAATTTTTGAAGAGTATATCACAGCGAGCTATGCATCTTCTTTTTCCTGATACCGGAAATTCCGCTACTGGACACTTGATGACCGGAAACGAATGTACTGATCTGAGTGCTTCTGGCAGCTGACGTATATGGAGAAAATCCCATAGCATTATGAATCCCAATATTCATAGAATATTTTGCATCTTGTGTAATGATATGGATTTTGTTCGAGAACAGTGAAAGATCATTGGCCTAGCCTTTTACTCAAATAGAGCTTGATGTTACTTAATACAGGCCAAGTTAGGTGTGTAAGCATCTCCAACAAATGAATGCTATGGCGCACTTTTTCTGATAAGTCATACATAAAGTCTGGTGAGTTTAGTCTTTTCTAATAGCCCAAAGTGCCGTCACAGACATCTAAACATGACAAATCATGTCTTACCGTGGTTATTTAACTCATTTAATCTCAATGTTATCAAGCACAGCAGACATGATCACCAATTTACTGTGAAACACAAAAATCCCATCTCTAAATATGATAAAATTATGAATCCTGTGTATAAAGTAAGCTTTTGGTTACCTACAAAAGACTTCCACTTACTTATAGTTTATTTCTCGAGGTGAATCCCTTATGGAAGTTCTGCACTTCCATAAGGAATGTATGAGACTGTTGTATCAGTTTTTCTGTCACTTTAGTGCGTGCGAGTATTAGCTTTGTCAAAAAAAAAAAAAAAAAAAAAAAAAAAAAAAAAAAAAATGCAAACGTTAGAAGTTTTAAGAAATTATCTTTGAGATATATACGTTTTAAGATTAATCCAAGGTAAAGATTGAATTTTATGAGTTGCAACAGTAGGTATTACCTTTTTTAAAGAAGAAAACGAAATAATTGTATGATTTTATTGCATATTTTAATTTTAATGGTGAACTCTTCTAAATTTTTAACGGTGAATTCGTTTTCGAAGTTGTATGCTGGAACATGAATTTACCAGAATGTACTATTAACTATCCCTTGGTCTTTTAAATAAAATTAAGCTTTCAGGGTGAAAAACCCTGTCCTATGGTTTCTGAAATGAAATAAAAATAAATAATTTCCAGAGAAAATACTTTTATGACAGAATTACATAAAACGTATCAAAATAATTAGAAAAACTTAATAATGGAGAAAATTGCAAAATTACAATGCAGTCCAAGGACTAAAATTTATTTTCTTACGACAAACAACGTCTGAAATATAGATTTTTCTTACTCAAATTATGATAATCTTTACTAAAAATGGACACTCTCTTTTCAAGAGGAATCAGTTAAATATAAAACAACTTTCTAAGCAATTTTCTTTCCTTTTGAAAAACTAATGAATGAACTGGAAAAATAATTTTTTTTTATACGGAGACTGAATAAACTTCTGACCTTTAAAGAAATCCTATTACCGAATCTTCTAGTTCTTTCAGAAATATGCTTTTTAGCATTTTTCAAATGCAAAGCCTTCTCTACGCCAGGATTAATTTGTTTTGGAGATGAAAGATAAAAGTTTTTAGCCGTTATTTTTAAGCCTTTTATGGAAGAATAAGCTGACGGTAAGTTTCTGAAATCATTTTTAATATTAAATACGCATGTTTCTAATTAAAACATCATAAAACGCAAAAATGTTTTAATGTGTTTTATTTTAATTATGAAACACTTATATTCATTATCGAATTTAGAACAAAATTTGGTTTCTGTACATAATACTGAATCGATAAATTGACGGATTAAACATCAAAAATGAATGCCATATAAATGCTTTATTTTGAAAGAAAAAAAAAAAAAGGCTTAAATGCAGTGTGATCTCATTCATCATTAATTATTTAGCTCTTATGACAGTACAGCACGGAGTACTAGTCTGCTTAGAAGAGTCGACTTTTTGTATAATTTCTAAGGAAAACTTTCTCGCGTTTACGTTATAATGGAGAAAACCCACGAAATATTCAAGCAGTACGTTTAATCATCCTGAAACAACAGAAATGGAATAACTATCATGGCTCAATGTTTTAATGATTTTCCTAAAAACAGGTCATTTCATACATTACATCCTCAAATTTTATTATAACAACGAATAATTTTTAAAAGCAAAACATAAGTATTTCCAAAATATACAACTTCAAATTCAGTTTAAGAAACGATATCCAAGTTCGTAACAATATGAGCAAATGTCTTGGATTTTAGTGAAGTGTCCCGCATCTGTATTTAGAGCAAATTTTGGTTGTGCATTTACATTTAAACGATAAATTGATGGAGAAAACGACATAATGAATAACAGATAAGTGCTTTATTTTTCGTGTATAACATGTATGAGAATTAGTGCCCCTAAGATAAATCCTCTTTACGAAAGTAAGCAGCCTACATTTGCTTCGCTATGTTTAACTAAAGCTGACATGGTAAAGTTGTAAAAGTCAGGCACCAAGTTTTTCTTTCACCATACTCACATATCGGGCTTGATTTCTATATAGGAGTAAGACATGGACATTACGATATGCGATATTGTCTAGCGGAATGGGAGTACTTTAAGCTTATTTGATCCGAAAATCATCTGCAGAAGTTAGTGATGGGGAAAGAGGGGTACAGACTATTAGATTCTGTCCATCCTGGTGTCAGCGATCAAAATTAGACTACAGCTAGTCAAAGTCTTTCTGCAATCACAGGTTACTGAAGGATTCAGCACGTAATAGGTGATGGAAATAAGCGCCGAGTTACCAGAAAGACTTATTCTTATGCTGTCGAACAACGAATAAGCATGGGTTGAACATCAGTGGCGTAGCTAGGGTGGGGCAAAGGGGGACATCTGTCCCCGGGCGCAGCATCCAGGCGGCGCCAAATTGATGCTACGAAACTTTTTAATGAAATGTTTTCCATTCATGGCACACAGAAAAGGGGCGCAAATTCTTTATTTGTCCCCGGGCGCTGGAATCCTAGCTACGTCACTGTTGAACATTCATGTCGTTGTTCATCGTATTTTAGCCTCCAAACACGAGAATAAAGAGCAAGAGGAGCAAAGTGCTTAAATTTTAAAGAAAAAAAAGATCGAATGTAGCATGGTAGGGAAAGACTACATATGTAAGGGTAACACATGAGCATTTAGCGATTACATGATCGTACCACTAAGCCTTGTTAACTTGAGATTTCCTGCAACTATTTGCAAAGTGGCACCAATTTAACTAGACGGTTCAGTCTTGGTACTGATTCAAATATAGGCCTGCTTGCGGCTTCCTACCATTTCTGTGATTTGCGACCATAAGGAATGGGAGTGCAGTTTCATCTTCCTGTCGCGAAAAACTGCAGCTCAGCCACTGTTATGGCTCGTAAAACTTTTAAAGATGATATTTTAAGTAAATCACAAGTGTAACAAGTAGTTTACCAAATTCAAAAACGACGACTTGTTAGATGAAGGCTGCTACGACTTAAACATTAACGTGCAAAATATGAATTTTTTTAAAGCATTATTGACAT